AGTACCCCAAATAATGGGCCAGCTCTACAACTTTCTAAATCTCTTTTTCTCAAGCTTTAAAACAGGAAGGGATTATTCAATTTCGTTTCAAGGGAGAAAACGCAATAGACTGAGGATGTGATGACTTGATTGATGATGTGGGAACCTATGAGAAAGCTATTTCCCTTCCTAGAGTTTGAAAGAAAACGCTCTTCACTCTCCATCCACCCACACATATATATTTATATCAGCACATGGATATTTAATATGTTTTCTAACGCAGAAGAAATAGACAATGACTCACAGGAAACAAATCAATACATTTCAGAATGGGCTAAAAATGTCACCATAAAAAATTGTTTAATGTTTATGATGGCAAGAGTTCGACGGGATAGCTTTTCAGTTGCATATAGGAGGCCAGCTATTTCTTCATTCTTCTCTCTTTCTTTGTTCTTTAATAAAAACAAATAGTGCCAAGTCCTATGCTAAGTACTATGCACTATAACCCGTTGGGTTTTGTAAACCAACATCCCTACATCCAGAATTGTTGAGTAAATGCTTTAAATTCTAAAATGCCCAAACTCTGTTTATGACTGGGCACAAGACAGACCCACTTGCTACTCAGGTACCCAATAAAGCCACTGCATCAAGACTAGATCATATAAATACACAGAGCTCACAGAACAATGGAGTTATAGTCTAGTGGCACTTAATTCAGTAAGAGACCACCATGCATCAGACAACATGATCAAGTTATTAACTACAAAATAAAGAAGATTTTTAAAAAGTGTTAGTAGGGCATGTTTAACGGGATACCTAAACTTTGAAAATCTTCTTATGGAAAAATATTTGCCTATAAAATATTTTAAAATCTACTTCTGGTCATCTTTCTTCATTGCAGTCACTATCTGAATTCTTCATATGGTGCTCTCATTGAATTCTTGCTACCTACACCCCATGAGGTAATCATATTATCACCTCTATTTCACTGAGGTTCAAAGAAGCAAAACAACCTGTAAAAGGTCACAAAGCTAGTAAGTGGTGCACATTTGCTGAAGTCCAAAGTCAACACCTTTTTATGCTTCCTATTTTTCTAGTTGTTAAGCCAATTCTTCAAGATAATTCAGTTTAAACTGAGCATCAGTAATGTTCACATTAGGCAAAGCTAGCTTGATCATCTAAAATGCCCCCCCCCCGCTGCAAAGTCTCCTGTGTTTGGAAGGTAACTGAATCATAGGATTACTACACTCCTCACAAACTGAGATGAGTTCATAGCTGAATGTGCTGTTTTGAGGTGGAACCCAGTCAAAAGAGGCAGGTTACTGTGGTCATAACCTGGAATGGTTATTCTTGTCCCTGGTTTATCCCTGGGCTCTCTGCTTCCAAACTACCATGACATGAGAAGCTTTTCTCTAACTTTTCTTTACATTTTTTCTTTCATCATGCCATTTCTGCCTCAGAGCTGGCCAAGCATGGAATGGACCCACTGAAACTATGAGCCAAATAGGCTTCTTTTCCTTTAAATTGTGCAAGTCAGATATTTTGCTCTGGCCCATCTGGCTAATACAACTACTTGATAAAGTTTCATAGATGGAAAAAAGGTTAACTATTTTTAAGCAATTGGAACTGGGTGGTGGATAGATGTATCTTTTTAGGCCAAAGTGCATGGGTTTAAAACCTAGAGATACCAGTACCAACTGTGTGTCAATGGGGTAAGTTTCTTCATTGCCATTCTTTGTTCTCCTTGCTTATAAAATATGCAGTGAAGGTAATATTATCTACCTTGTGGGGTTGTTTGAGAGGACTACACAAGGCAACCCAGCATATCTGAGGAACTTAGAACAGCATCGAGAACAGAGTAAGCACTCTGTAAATGCCTCTTTATTTTGGATTCACAATGAAAGCATAGATTATGCTCTACCTAAAGGGATTCTTCAGAAGATTAAAAGAGATAATAATGGTAACGTGCTTACAACAGGGCCCGAAATGTATAAATGAAATCGCCTCCGGCTGCCCATGACCAAACACAAGTGGCTTAACAGCACCATTGTGACTGCCATCAGCAGTCACGGCTTTGAGAAGCACCATGCTCTGGTCCTCATCCAGATGTCTGAGGCCAGAGGATTTATCAGAGGCTTTTGTCTAAATAAATGGTCTAATGTTGCATATTTACCCACATTCATTAGCCAAGCCTTGGTGTTGGGACTCTGCAGAACCACATTATGTGGGAAAAAATAAATACATTACAGAAGGAAAGGCATTCTTTGGTTTCTTCCCACATTCCCCGAAGCTTACCTCACCCACCCACACAGAAACAGGAATTCAAGGCTTGAGTGAATTTATATTTTCTCAGTTAGTATATTACAGGATAGGACGACAGAACAGAATCATAATTAGGGACATGGAATTTGGAGTCAGCAGAGAAATCCTAGCTCCACCCTGTACTTACGCATGACCCTACTGAGCGGCTTAAACTTTCTAAGCCTGCTTTCTCATTTTTAAAATAAAGATTTTTAAAGTAGTATTTTTCTTGTGCATATGTTGGAAGAATAAAGTGTGATAACAGAAAAAGTGCTCATGATTACATACATACAGCCTGGGAATATAGTTCAGGGATGGAGTGCTCACCTAGCAAGGGCAAGACCCTGGCCTGCTCCCCAGCACCATAAAAAGATAATATAAAAACAATCATATTTCTGAAGTATTGACAATGTCAAAGTCCTTCCACTGTCATATTTATGCTTCAAAAAAGTCTAGCACAAATATTTGATTAGTCCCATTTTACAGAGGATATTTGGAATAATCGTTATTTTCTGGTATCTTTGGGACTACAAATCAAGTCTGAATGGGGCTGGCATATAGTGTTCTGTGAGTTGTAGCTTTCATTTCATTTTGTGTCATCAATTCCTCAATGATTCCAGTAACTAAATATTTCTTACGTGTTTTATTTGTGAAGTGAGTGTCTGTGAGTAAAACTAAGCAGGGTAAGATGCAATCCTTCCGTTCACCGAGCATTTAGTTCTATTATTTTGACAAGACATGGATACCTGGTTAGTTATTGCTCTCATCTCCCAAAACTCTTACATACAGCTAGAGTCCTCAACATAATATATTCAACTTTCCCTGTCAGACTTGATTTCTAAAAGTCCTATTTCCATTCTATGAAGTTAAGCATTTTTGCCATCAGTATATTAGATAGGAATACTGAAAAGGAACCAATGTATTTGGGATGTGATGGTAAAACCATACCTCACCACTCATGTACTTGGCACAGATACCTGTTCTTTTTCCACCTGTCTCTATATTCTTTTCCAAGTAATAGCATCCTACATTTTCTCTCGACCCTCCAACTCTCATTCCATTAGGTTTGAAGAGTTGATTCCACTTCAAGCTGTGATGCTAGGGTGTAGAAGTGAGCACTGATGTTAACTCATATTTGGCTAAACAGAACACTGCATTCTCCAAGCTAAGCAACTGGTAGGGAAATGAGCTTCTAACCTAATTAGGAATGTTATGGTTTGTGTCTAAATGTCTCCCAAAGCCTCATGTGGTCACAGGTGGGTTTTTCAGAGGTGGCTAGATCTAGAGGGTATGATGCTGGGATCAAGGGTGAGTGATTAGTAAATTAGTCCACTAATTGGTTTGGTGCAATTCGAGCTAGGATTAAGAGATCCCATGTGTGAGTGATAAAAAATATAAGGGACAGAAAGAAGGCTAGTGTGGTTTGTTGCTTGCAGCCTTCTGTCTTCTGCCTGCCATGAACTTTTTCTCCTATGTGATGCCCCTCTCTAGGCCATCCTTCGCTGAAGCCAGCTGACTATAAACTGAAGCCACTACAAACTGTGAGCTAAATAGATCTGCCCTCCTTTAACTTTGGGTTTCAGGTATTTTGTCTCAGCAATTAAAAAAAATCACTAAACAAGGATCGTAGAGGCTTTTATCCTTCCAATATAAATGGGAAGAGGCAGAGTGAAGAAATGGAAAGCAACCAACTCCTTTTTACATTTGTTGAGCCCCTGGACCACATCATTCCTGAGACATAGCATGGGAGAGGAAAACATGTCCTTCTTTCATAGAAATCCCTTCTATATGTGCTAGGAGTCCTGACAGCACAGGGTTGAAAGCTAGAAGAAACTTCTCTAATAGATACACAAAGAAAAATTCTCTCAAAATTAAGCAGAGACCAACGGGGCTGAGTGGCAACATTTCAAGGAGATGGCAAAGACTTTAGAATGGTTGTGCAGTTTTCTGTTTTAACAATGATTCCTCTCCCCTTTTACACTGAGCTGCATCTCCAGCCACTTTCTATCTTTTATTTTGAGACAGGATCTCACTGAGATGCTGAGATCCTCAGGCTGGGCTCAGACATGTGATCTTCATGCCTCTGCCTCCCAGAGTGCCACAGTTACAGACATGCACTGCCACATCAGGCTGAGAATGATTTTGTTTGTTTGTTTGTTTGCTTGCTTGCTTGCTTGTTTGTTTCAGTTGTAGCACAAAAATAACAGGGCAAAAATCACATCATATGGACTGGGTTAATGGGTACCTCAGGGATCAAGGTGTACTCATGACGTGTGCCCTGGACTCATCCTGAATTTCCTGACTCTGCTGCAGACTCCCTTATCCCTTCTGAGGATGGGGGAAGAGATACTCCCAAGCACTAAGAAGACTGAATTTCTAGCTGAAGGTAAAGGAGGTCTTAGGTTATTTTAAAGGAAATAATGGCATAATGTTTCTTAAGTACATGAGGTTACAAACTACTGCAATTTCAAAATATTTCAGTAAGTCACAAGCATACCCCTGAAAAAATTTCTACCATAAGTTTTGCTATTTCCCCTCATATTTCTGGGTGGGTTTTCTCAGATAACAACTCCTCGCAATGTTCTTATGGTTGCCACCCACAGCCTTGGCTTTAAAAGACCTGGGCTATTTAGCATTTTAGCATCAGAAAATTTGGACACTGTTACTTTGACCTGGACACTGTGATTCCAAGATGGATCAGCCATTCCTACATTACTCACATACTGGATGAAGCCCAATTGATTGCTTCTTAGTTGACAATACAAGTTCAGTTCAGGCAAGTCTGCAGAATAGGGGTGCAAGATATTCCTGGGATCTCTCTAAAACAAAGAGTACAAATGTAAACTTCTTTTGGTGCTCAAGAGGTAATGTTTTCACATGGTCATAAAATGTACCAGCTTTAACATCAGACAAACCAATTCCAAATCCTGGCTTTGCTCTTAGTGGCTTTCCTTTTTTATTATTATTAACCTTAGGAAGTCTCAGTTTCCTTAAAATAACAGTTCTCACCTCATAGTTTTGTTGAGAAGATCCAATGAAGTAATACAGAGAGAGTATCTACTTTGATACTTGTTAATAGTAAAAATTCAACTAGGGGTTAGCTGTTCAAATAGTCATTCGTATTATTAATGGAAAACAGCCGAGGCTTCCTGGGAATTCAGAACCTGAACAATAAAACCAACATCTGCCCACAGATTTCATCTGTAGAACATACATCAAATAAAACATAGGACATAGTGTCAGTGCATGGTCATTCCAGACTCTGCTCAACCCAATATAAATACAAATTTGCCCTTCACTGCTCGTATGGGAGAACCAGAGCTTCCTTGTGTTCAAGGAAAATGGAAGTGGAGACACATCAGGTATATAAGAAAGGAATTTTGTTATACCAGTTATTAGCTGTCACAGAGAATAAGAAGGAGCTAAGCACAGAGAAAAAAATTACCCAAATCAGGCCAGTCAATGGAATCAAATGGTTGGGCCAGAGCCATTGAACAAAATCGTAAAGACTAAGGGTTTTTTCCCCCCAGTATTTTGTTACTCAGTTTTTTGACATATTACAATGTACTCTCCCAACTAGGCATCCAACACTATATGCTGTCCTTTTGAGGCCCAAGACCTCAAAGTTAACTACTTTCTCTCTCACGTAATCTCATGCAATCTGATTTTTTAAAAGTAATACTCCTGCCCCCACTCTAAATCTCAAGATGTTTGAGTAAACTCAAAACTCTTTCTTTTCACTCATCTGAAAACGTAATTTCTTCTAAAGTACTGCGAGTGTAAGTAGGTCCCCTCCATTATCACTTCAACCAAATCTGCATTTTTACCAAATTTTAATACTCCCAAGAGTGAGCATAAGCCTCACAAGTGACAACTATTTGATGTGAAGTGGGCAGAACTGGACCTATGGTTCAGTTATAAATTGTAAGGTATTCATTCCATAAGCATGACAAGACATGACTTCACTGAGAGAGGCAGTCACACACCAAACCAGTACACACCACAGCCAGGTCACTCCCCTTGGCTAGGACAAGCCACAGGCTTACAGAGACTGCAAAGAAGGCAAGGGGAGCTAATAACTGATGTCCTGTGGAGAGAGCCCATGGCCCACAGAACACGCCACTTGGAAAGTCACCTCCATTCTCATAATGTGTGCACATCTATAAAAGCTTGTAGGAGAATTTCTTTTATTAACATCTAAGCTCCTTGAATATATATATTTCTTTATACTATCATCTGGGACTTCTTTGGCCTCTGAAACTGAAGGAGGATTGTCTCAAAGTTCTAGCTCTGATGGTAGGGGAGGAGCCCTACATCTTCCCAAGATTCCTATAGTTTCCCAGAATTTATTCCGCTTCTCTACCTCTTTTCTGGCTCCCAAGTCCAGGGGACCATCTCTGCTGCCCACTGAATCCAGATCTGAAGTCCAGCCCCTCCTCAGATTGCCCCAAAGAATCCATTCATAGAGCTAAAAGTGAAGAATGAGAATTTCATTGAGGATTTCAGAGAGAAAACAGCACATGCTCTCCAGGAAGCTGCAACTGAAGCCTCACTAAATGACCTCTACTTACTCAAATAGTGGTCAAATCCATGCTGTAGATTCCCAAACCTTGATTATCATCAACCTTGCTTGTGTCACTTGTACTACTGTCATGATGATGTAATTTAACTCACTATAAACAGACAAAATATACATATAAAATGCAGCTGTCATTTCTATCAAAACTCAGTTGAATTCTTTGTACATACTTGATAAAGGTACATATTTAGAGAAATTACTGTCAGAATTTATCTCAAAAGAAGATCACTATAAAATACAAGGGGTTAGTAGTAAACTTCTGGAAGGATTCTACACTGAGAGTGCTCTCAAGTTTGTTTGATACCACTGCTGCAATTTTTAAAATAACATAAAAACTAGAATTCACACATAATGCATCGTGAAATGCCAGGTATAAGAAAGATCGGGTATTACAATTGCAAACACTTACCTAGAATAAGACCTTGGCCAGACGTGAAACGATGAGAAAATCAACACATACTTCATGTAGCTTAGGTTACAATAAACTGTATAAATGTGTTTTTCATGAAGCTCTGATTTAACCTTTTTTTTAATTTATTTTTTTTTCCTCATTGAGTTTATTGGTACATTTTAGGTATACAGTACAGTAACATTCATTATTGAGATCTCCTACCTTTACATGACAGGTCTTGGTTCTCATTTTTCCCCCTTGTCCCTGCCCTCCCTTCACCCCTCCTCCCCTCACCCTTTACAAACTCTTCATTTCCATTTTTACATTTTCTCACATTTTTTTCTTTCCTCTTATTAGCTTTCCCCTACCCTTCCCACTTTCCCTATACCTTTAGCCCCTTTCTCCCTGATTTAACCTTTTCTTCATTAATTATGTAACTGCTCCTGTCACATCAGATCACACAATTGACAGGCCTCAAGGATTTTTCAGAGCCTATATTCTTAACCAGGAATTTGTGGATAGGCTTCAAAGAGCAAAGCAATAAATTAATGCATGCAAAACTTTGGATCCATAGGGCATGTGACTTTTTAGGGGAAAGTGCCAATAACTATCATTTGAGTTTCACAACGATCTAAAAAGTGAGTTTCAAAAGTGATCTACTAGACTGCCGCCTTAGCAGGATGACTGATTGTGCCCATCTGCTTGTGACTATCCCAGTTTTAGACTGAAAGTCCTACGTCCTGGGATCGTTCAGACCTGGGATAATTAAAATGCTTAGTTACCCTACCACAGAGTTGCCAGATAAAATACAGAATGAAAGGTAAATTTGAATTTCAAGTAATCATTCAATAAATAATTTTTAGTGTATGAATGTCCTCAGCAATATTTATTATTTATCTGAAATTCACATTTAACTAGGCATCTTGTATTTTTATTTGCAAAATCAGGCAACCCTATCTAAATGCAATAATTAATAAAAATGGTATGAATAATAGTACCAATAGTGATAGTAGCAGTAATAGTAGTAACCAATAATTTTTGAATGTTTCCTTTTTGCCAAGGTAATTTCTTATTCAATCCTAACCATGTTTCAGATTAAGATTATCATTTCTTTTTATGAAAACAGTGACTACGGATTAAAGCAGTGAAACAGAAGTATCATGTAGTTAGTCAATGGCAGAAGAAAATTCAAATCCACAAAAATGTGTTCCACAAAAAGGAAAACAAGAAAAGCTGTATATTCAGATGTCAAAAGTCTGCCACCGGGATCGCTCCCTCCTTCTGCCCTTGAACTCAATACTCTTCCCCAGGCTCTTTCTGAGCACCTCTAAAGAGGCTCTGTGTAAAGCCTCACAGACACAAAACATTAGCACTGAGCTTGGCAAGCATCCTGTTTCCCAAACTCTGTTCTAACTCCCCCATTTTTTCTCACAGGCGTTATCAGAGAGACTTTCCCTGATGCCTTTCAGCCTACAAGAGTTGACAGCTGCCTCAAACTCCAGCTGAAATTCATTTGTGTCCTGGATCCACTTCCTGTTTTCCAAAATCTATTAGCACTTTGCTCAAATATTTTGTTAGTTGGAACAGGACTTGCATGGAGAAGGCCAAATGTCTCAAGGTGCCCAGAAGTGAAGGTTATCTGAGGCTGTAAGATTTAGACTGGTAAAAGTGGAAAAGTCCCTAGAAAACCAAGACAGATGCTCATCCTACCTGTCTGGCAGATTTTGATACACTTTTATTCATACTATGTCAAATCATCCTTTAAACAACCCTGGGATAAAGCCTATTCTACAGTCAAAAACAGTTACGGGAGTACTCAGCAATTGTCCAAGGGTGCATAGTTGTAGCCAGAGAGCCAGCTCTGCATCTGTGTCTCACTCCAAAGCAAAGCTGGGAAGTGCTGTAATATTCTGGCCCCTGGAAGTCTGACTGCCTGAATCTGGACCTAGTCACTGACACCGGATTTTTTTTTTTTTTTTTTTGCAACCTCTCCTTGTATCCCAATCCCAATTCTTTTATCTGTTAAAAATGAGGACGATATTAAAACCTACCTTCTACTTTGTGAAAACTGAACAGTGCATGTAAAGTACTCAGCATATGACCTGGTGCTTAGTGAGTTCATTAATGGAAGCTAGCATTATTCCACCCTGTTGCTAAAAGAATCTGTGAAATGAGTCTTTTCCAACCTCAAATGCTGGAAATATCCCCCAAAGTTCCTTTATTCCTCTTATAACTGATTATCTGCCATCAAGGGGTTTTCCTAATTTTTTTCTGAAGCTATATTTTCAGCTTTTATTATCTGTTGTGAGTTTCCCATGTTGATTGCTAGGGCTTCCTCTAACTCAACCAACACTTTGCTATGTTTTTCACCATAAGAGAGTACAGACAAGTCAGAGTTTAGTTTTTAAAGAACAGATCTTCCTTGACTCCACTCACTAAGTTGGTGAGAATACGGCACCATATCTGCTCTATTCCCCTATGAGTCTCCTCTGGTGCCCAATTAATGCAGCTGCTCAGTAAATATTTGTTGAATGTATTAAATAATCAGTAATAAATTCTACCATTACCAACCATTCTTATTACTCTATATCTAAACTAAACTGCTCCATTTCCTCATTTTCTCCATGAAAATCTGACTACATTCTATAAGTGTTGACTGGAAGTAATTTTTAATGATGATCTTCTAGTCCTAATTTTCAAAACAATTCTATTCATCACTCAGTAATACAAAGAAAATTTTCCAGTATATGTATGAATCAAGGAATCAGCTGGAGGGAAAAAGAAAAAACAAAGAGTAGTAGCTCTTGCTATGGGCCAACTCAGGAAGCCCTTTCTACTGATTGTTTTAAATTTTAATTACCTCACCAGGAAATTATTTCTATCTCATTTTTTTAAAGTGAAGAAACTAATGTCCAAGGACTTTGACCCAACTTATACTTACTAGGAAAATCAAGATTTGAACCCAGGTCTACTGACTAAAAAGCACAGATTCTTCTCTCTTTTCCCACACCATCATGTTGCCTCCTTAAAATATGAGAGTATAATAAAAAATTGTTTCATATATTCAGCCTCTGATTTATGGCCCCAACAGGCTTCCCTTGAATCAAATCATGGCATCAATTTAAGTCCTAGTTTTCCTCCAGGCGAAATGAGGAGGTTAAACTAGATGGTGCCTTTTTACATTTTAAATCCTATGACTTAGTGTGAACATACTGAGAATCACTGAAAAAGGAAGCTGTTCATGGGAGCCCTCAAGATGACTGCCTGTGTACTCAAGCATCCACTTTTTCAGCATTATCAGTCTGCAACATTAATATGCTAATTGCAAGGGAAGAAATGTGGAACTAATTCCATGTATCACTCAAGTAAAGGCATGCAGGTATCACCAAGATATTAGAGAATCAAAGGCAACACGACTGCATGACTTTGGGAGAATCATGGCAGAGCAACAGTGGGAAGTATTCTTCCATTACCACTCTTTAACTTTCAAACAACCTAACAGAATGAAAGCTCTTCTCCCCATTTTCTCCTGGTGTCGGCATTGTCCGATGGATAAACCATGCTGGCAGCCTCCTCCAGCCTTCCAGGAGCCCATCAAAAAGTAATAACCCTAAGGCCTTGGGGCTGGGTAAATCTGCTGCTCTCAGAACCCCCACCTAACTTTGAATTGCTGGCAGACTTGAACAAATGAGGCTAAAGGAATTTTCCAGTTAACTTTTTCAGAATCGTGTCTAATTAAACCATCTGGTAATGGACAAAACCCATGTCATTTGGGGGCATAATGATATTAAATAAGCTGTCAGCATGTGTAGGATAAAAAGGATTGGTGGCATTTTGGTGATGGCTACAGGGGATTTAAGCACATCTGCAAAAAATGGACCTTAACATGGAACTTTTTAAATGTAAAATCATCCTTTTTCCCTCTGTGTACTTACACATACTTACATTTTTCTTACATACCACCTACCCATATAAGGGTATGGCTAGATTCCTCTTTTTACCTGATTTCTTTACTAAGAACAAGCATAAATACTATAAAATAGTTAATTGCCTAGAGGTTTGACTGGACTCTTCCAAGTCCTCTTGTCTTGTACTTCATGCCACCTATCCACCAAAAAGCTGCATTAGACTTTGGCCTTGCCACAATGGCTGCTATTCCCCTTGTATTCTTTCTTCACATTAAATGTGTATCTACCACTCTAAAATATGGAAACATGTTGTTATACGGGATTCCTCATGACCAGACCCAAGAGGGAAATTTGTGGGAGTGATTTGTTTTTTCAAAAATACCTGCAGGAGACAGTAATAAGGAATATGCAGAAAGAGAGAGAAGAGAATCACACTTGACTTCTGGCAAATTCTGACAAGTGACTTCCGCTGATCCTACAGGAAACTCTGGAGCACAGGTTGTGTACCTCTAAGATTAAAACTGCACTTTTAAACTCCTGCACAAGTCAATCAGTTGTTCACTAAAAGTACCCTCTAGTGGGTAAAACCCAGGCCTTTCACCTCTCTGGGAGTTTGAGGAGAGGCTTACAAGAGAACAGGATCCAGAACGAAGAGTGCACATGGCAAGAAATGTGAATGCCAAGAAGTGTTTAGTGTCTGTGTCTCCTACAAGCCACAGGTCTCCTTGAGAGCAAGGACATGGAAATTTAAAAAGTCACCAGACCTCTGGGGAAACAGGCAGGCAGAATATGATGCCAGTGCTACAAGGACTTCTACCAGGAAGACTGATCCATGTATTAATTCATTCAATGAACT